AAAAGTTTTCACATAAAATTATATCTCAACTCAAATTAAAAACTCGAATCTGCGAACTGAATCTGAATGAGACCTTAATCTCGCCTTGTATTTTTCTCACTCTCAATGGTATTTCTACCCTCTCAATACTCTCTTTTTGCTTAGAAAATTGTCATCAACAAATCCCTAACAAAAAAGATATTTATAGGAGTGTAAAAATAGGAGAAAAAACACAAAAATTGGCCCAATTCGCGACCTTATCACGCCCTGGTGCCCAACACGAAGAAAAACGTGAACCTGCAGCGGTGCCCTCTCTGCAGCAAAACAATTGCTGTTCTCCTGGCGCTACAGCGCCTGCCAACCTATTTTCTTTTCTTCGGTTCTTCATATGAGATTAGGCTCCACATTTTCAACATTATGATCTACCAAAATTGTGTTAAATTATTCTCTTGTTCATCCAATTATTAAAATTTCGACCAAAATAAATCGTGCGAGGACAACATGCACTTAGTTCAAGCTTTTATAGGTTTTAAGAAGAAAGACGTTGACAAAATATTAACAAAATGAATGAGGGAAAAAAACTCATGTTTTATACAAAGGAAGGACAAATGAGCAAGCCAATATCCTTGTGTTGGTGTTAATTCTTTATTTAGTACTAAAAAAAGGTGTTTTTTGAACAATACTAGTTTTTATTTTTTGTATTATTAGCATTGACAAATTATTACAATAATTTTAATAAATTATTAATTAGTTGTCATTCATAATTATAATTATTAGGATAATTTTATTTTTATCTCCCTAATTTTGGTCTTTTTGTCACTTTGCCCTCTGAATTTTGAAAATTGGTCTGTGCACCCCTAAACTTTGAAACATTATTAACTTTGTTCTTTTTGTTTATTTGACTAACGGATTAGACAAAGTGACAATTATTGAAGGGGTATAATGAATTACCTACATAAATACTCCTGAAGTATGTATCATATTTTAAAATGTCTTTTGATCTATTAAAACACATCAAAATGCTCTAATCTCTAGAAAACATAATGAAATAACAGTTTTACTGATGTGGCATGTCATTTAAAATTAATTAGACATTCAATTCTAATTGAATTATTAAAAGTGATTAAAAATTAAAAAACATAAAAATATAAAAATGCTTCACTTCAAAAAATTCAAAAATTAAATAAATTTTTTCAAAAATTAAAAAATGCAAAAGAAAAACCTTCATGCTATATCAAAATTTTCACTTCCAGAGAAAGAAGATTTTTCGATGTTTGAAGGAGAAGAAGGCTTTTTATCCTTTTTTTCAATATTTTTTACTTGTCTTTTGGATTTTCAAATTTTTAGTGGCATGTTATATCAACTAATTAAAAAAACACTAAAAAAAACCCAAAAGACAATTCAAAAAAAAAAATCTTTAAAAGAAAAAAAAATGTTTTGATATGCGCTTTTAGAGTTGAAAAGGAATAATTTTTTTCCAAAAAAAAAAAAAATTCTTCTCTTCTTTTGGATTTTGATTTTTGAAAAAAAATAGTTCATTTATCTATTTTTTTGAATTTTTCAGAGTGAAAAATTTTTATATTTATTATTATTATGATTAAATATTTAATCACTTTTATTGATTTAATTAGCATTTATTATCTAATTAATTTTTAATGACATGCCACATCAATAGAAGTGTTATTTTATTATGTTTTCTATAGATTAAGAGACATTTTGATGTGTTTTGATAGATCAATGGACATTTTAAAATATAATACATACTTTAGAGGGTATTTATGTAAATAACTCATGAAACTATCCCTCCAACAATTGCCACTTCATCAAATTCGTTAGTCAAATAAACATAAAGGGCAAAGTGAATAACGTTTCAAAACTCAAGGGGTGCGCAGAGAAATTTTCAAAATTCAGAAGGTAAGTGACAAAGTGACTAAAATTCGGGGGTAAAAATAAGATTTATTCTAATTATTATTTGTGGTAATTATTGTCCAAATGAGGACACAACAAAAATAATTAAGAACAGTGTCCGTGAATGCTTTTAGTGCTATATATATATATTCCTCCAACGTAACATATAAAAGTAGAAACGTAACATTGTAGTTATTTAACGTAAGATGAACAGTAAAAAGACGTAACACTAAGAACTTTGACTTGCTCATACTATTGTTATACTTTAATTTGATTATTTACCATAATAAAAACGTTAAAAAATTTATTAATAATCAGGAATAATTAATATCTTGATATCCCACATTTTTAATGTTAGTGTTACGTTAAACACATACTATGCTACATTTTATATTTTTATACGCACTTACGTTGGAGGGATGGTTTTTCATAGGACTGAAAAAAAGCCCTAAAAAATTTAATCCACAGTGTTGTTGTCTCCTTTTGCCATCAATAATTCTCTACCGAAGTTCCAATTAAAGATATTTTTCCCCACTTTTTCCTACTTTTGACAAATAATAGTGGAACGAATGTTCCCCTTTTACTTTACACCTATAACTTTAACTCCTTTTTAAGTACACCCTAGCAAAGTGACGAAGACTATTATTCAAGCATCATCATCTTTTATAAGCAACAAGTTATTAATATTGTGAAAACAAAATAGTTCCAAATGTCTGTTAAGCGACTAACAATGTATCATATAAATAAGATATATTGAATAAGAAGACTTGGACATAGGTCGAAACAGAGAACATATCTTAGTAATAGTGGCTCTTGGGGACCTTGCCTATTTGGTGTTCCAGTTTGGACTGATGGTTAATTCAATTGTTTTCTTGGTTCAGTCGGTTTTTTGCTAGTCGACAAACCAAACCGATATATTTGCGTTTGGTATGATGGTTCAAATAAGGGTGCTTTTAGTTTTAAAACTAAACTATGATTTATGGTTTAAATTTAGAGTCCAAACCATAGTTCTGGAATCGGAATCAGAATTAGAAGTTTGAACCATCCAAAATCAAAGGGGGAGGTGGTTTTATTTTTTGAGGTAGTTTTAGTTTAAAACATCACATCACGATTCAAACTTCGAACCAGAACCATCCAAACTAAGCATTAATTTTCAAGAACTATTTTTTACTTTTTGCAAACAAACAAAGGTTTAAACCATAATCATAATTCTAATTCTAGAACCCTCATATCAAATGCAACCTTCTCAGAATTGACCACTGAACGAAACATGGATTCAACTGAAATACCATGAATGACTTTGTTGGTCAATCTGTATTTTTGTTACTACCCTGTATACTACTTGAATTTTCTTGACCTTTCGGATTTAGTAATTTGACAGCAACCCTAGTTTGTGGACCTTTAATGATTCTGTGTAAATTTATTATTTATATCATTCTAAATAATTATGTCTTATTATATCTTTTTGTTTTTTGTTTTTGGTTACTTGAATAGCGATTGTCAATTTTTGAGTGAAGTGATATAAAAATAATATATTTTTTTACTATCATGAGTAGTATTTATGGTTAATTTGTTTTCCTATTTTTAATGAAAGATCTCCTAGGCATCTTATTTCACAAGTCAATTTTTTTTTTTGTTACGGTGTTTTTACTCACAAAAATTCAAATTCAACTTTTTTTATTATAGTATTTTCTCTCACATAAAATTCACTTTAAAACTTAGTTGTGAAAAGAACATATCCCTAAACTTCTATTTGTTAACTAGAATATACATTAACTTAATCAGCACCATCCAAGTGTCAGATGAACAAACCAAGTAAGTTACAAAGTTAAAAATCCAAATCAAGGCAAATAACAACAATAACCAAAATGGCAAACAATCCAACAATTAGTGCATAATAAGGCCAAAGTTACCAACAAGAGATAAACTTGTACAACCAAGTCATCAACAATCCCAAAGTCTAAATCCATAGCAAACCAACAATTCGAACTCATGCAAATGCAAATCCAAGACAAGAAAAATATGAGGAATGTTCGCTTGTAGCTGGTAGCGAATAAGCCCTTACTTAATACTTTTAAGGAAGTAACCCAGTATTCGAGAACACAAGTCGAACACGATACTCTATTATAGTTAGGCCACCATTCTCGGCGGTGAAAAACTAGATAAGTTAATCAAATAGGCTAAGACTCCGTTCATTTCACCGATTTGAGTTTTGTTACAGTAAAAAACTCTCAGAAACAGTCACATTTATTATTTTTTTTTTGTTACAGTAAAAAGCTCACACATAAAGTCACATTTCAAATCGAATTAAAAACTCGAATTAACGAACTAAATAGATCCTAAGACACTAAATACTATAGTTTTCTCAATGACTTGAGTAGGTTGTGTATCTGAATCCGGGGCTTGAGTTTATTACTGCTTGCTTGAACTTGAAATTATAGATTGACCATCATCTACGGTGCAAAAAATTGATTTACAAAGAATTAATACAAAAAAGTTGCAACCAAACATAAAATAAGGATAAATTAATATTACGCGTCACAACTTCAAAATAATCTTCTATCACTAGTTAAAGTCTCGTACCCTCATCCATGTAATTTTGTTTATTCTCTTGTAAAAACTTCATAACTGATTTGTAATTGGTTTTTGTATTTTTAACCCCAAAAACAATTCAGTTACGGTATTGCCAAAGATATTTGGAAGCCAAAACGAACCATTGAAGGGCAAATCCGTCATTTAGACTAATCCGCCAAATCGTCCTGAAAAAGAAAAAGGCGGCACACGGGAAATAGAAAAACTGCTTATTGCAACTTGCCTAACGAGACCGTTAGTACGTAACCGCCAAAATCTTGGATCCACTCAAAGACAGCCCCGTGTCATCTCCTCATTCGACGATCAGCAACGTAACGAGCCTATATAAACCCCAACCCCTCACCAGAGCTATCACTCACAAGCACACTCGAAGCTTTTCCGTGCAAAAGTTTCTCGCACTTGAAGATCTTTAGAGAGAGAGAAGAGAGAGAGAGAGAGAGAGAAGAGAGAGAGAGAGAGAGAGAGAGAGAGAGGAGAGAGAGAGAGAGACTAAAGAAGAGAGAGAGAGAGAGAGAGAGAGAGAGAGAGGAGAGAGAGAGAGAGACTAAAAGAGAGAATTCTCTGAATCTCTGCAATGGAGGTCGTGAACAATGTGGTTGTTCCAGAGGGCTCTGAGGCCAAGGAAGTTCTGAGCAACACCGAGCTCGATTGTGGAGGCAGCAATGGCGGCGACACTAAGACCGGCTGCGACGCTTCCTCCGATCAAGAGCTCAGCAGCAAGGGCAAGATCCGGATTCAAGTCTCCAAGACCAAGAAGCCGCTTTTCTTCTACATCAATCTCGCAAAGGTATATAGATTCTCTCTCTCTCACTCTCTCTCTCTCTCTCTCTCTCTCTCTCTCTCTCTCTCCGTTGCTTTGTTCGATTTTCTGGCGTTGGCCGTATGATTATTTTGTGATTGGAGTGGTGAGAAACGACGAGGAAAAAGAAATGTGAGTGCTTAGGGTATTTGTTTTTCTCATTGTTTGTTTGAATTTCTTGCGTCAGCTGTGTGTTTCTTTTTGTTTGGCTGGTGAGAAACCGCGGGAAAAGAAATGAGTGCTTAGGTTTTTGGTTTTTTGTGCTTTTCGCCTAAAATGTTCTCCGAGTTCTTCTTTTCTTGGTGAGTTTTGACATTTGCTTTATGTGCTTTCTGGCGGTGTTTAGCTTTATTTAATCTTGAATCTTACTTAATTTTTGAGAAAAGTCTCGGGGATTTATTAGGATTTTTGGTTTAATTTTCTGTTTTTGCTTCGATTCCGAGCACGTTAAGAAGTTCTTGGAGTTTCTTTTTCGTTTGGTTGAGTTTCTCTTTCTATTTTTCCCTTTTGAAGTTTCGATTTTCTGGAATCATCAAGAACTTTAGTTCATTATTATAATCGTATTTCTGCAAAACATACGATCTGTTGACTGTGATTGTTTTTAGCTTTTCAGGACTGTAATGCATATTTCTTTTATGTTATTTCTTCTGTAATATAATAACCACTTTCTCATGCATTCAATATTAGTCTTGTTTGATCGTTCTGGGTTGTAACTTGTAATGATAACTTCTGTAAATTTAGTTCTTGGGTGAATTTAGTTCTCTCTGATGGGAATTTGATTTATTAGATCTGTTGGTTGTAGATTATTCTTTTATATATATATATATATGTGAGAAAAAATAGAAATGGGCTTTTATTCTTGTTTGATTGATTGGTTTTCTTCATATATTCTCTATTAACAAATGTAATCTATCTTTGTTACAGAAGTACATGAAGCAGTACTATGATGTTGAACTCACTGCTCTGGGCATGGGTACAATTTCTTGACTCTTCTTTTTCTTGTCGCATATTGATATGTTTTTCTTCTTTTTTTAACTCCTGGATTTTCAATTTCTTTATGTTCTTTAAAAGTGAACAAGTTAAATCTGACCATATTAGTTACATAATATAACTGAGTTGAAAAAAGATTGGAACGGAAGGAAAACGATTTGAGAGAATTGACAAAGATTTGTAAAAGTCAGAAAATTAACTGGTTGAGTTCTTCACTTATTTCATACAGCTATTCCAACTGTTGTCATGATTTCTGAGAGTCTGAAACGCAATGGACTGGCAATTCAAAAGAGTAAGCAGTCGAATATTTCTTTTACTTATTTGCATCATTTAAACATTTATTTTCCTCCTGTCTAATGCAATATGGTTGTTGTCGTTTGGGAAATGCGACAGACATAAGCACATCCACTGTTGCTAAATCCAAGGACGAAAAGAAAGGCCGGATGATTGTGAAGGCTCAGGTTGCTATTTTGTGAACTTTAATATTAGAAATTGGAAATTCCCTTTTCATTTGTTTTGATATAAAATTGAAACTTTTCTGATTTTTCTCGCCTTTGATTCTTGTAGATTGAGATTCTGCTTGGGCAAGCTGATAAGCTGGAGGAGAGCTCGGCTGTTGCTGCAACATCAAACTAAGAAGGCTGCTGATTTACTAGCTTCAGATTTTTAGCAGAAACCAACAGGAGTTCTAATTCTGGAATAAAAAAGTTTCTGATTTTCTGTATCCTTGTAAAATTTGAATGCAAATTGGAGATGCTATTAGTAGTATAGTCAAGTGAATTAGATTGAGTAGACATTCTGATAGAACAGATGTCCTTAGTGCTGCAATTTCTGTTCTGATCGGAGTAGACATTCTGGGATCAAAGTTTCTGATTTCTGTTTCTGCCATTTCTTGTTGGCACAATAGTACATAAATATATACCAAGTTCTTTTCATCTCTCTCTCTCTCTCTCACTCATGTTCACTGATTCAATTTTGAACAGCAAATAAGCACAAGAAGACGCACAGAATGAGACTGCAAAGATGTTTTCCAATTTTGTTTCAATGCCAATGAGAAAGAAAAGGACTTTATTCAAATTATTTACACAGAAAGGACTTTATTCAAACTGCCTACAAAAGGTCTGTTTCATTGGATTGACAACTTGGCAAGGGTAAGTGCTAAGACCTTAACCCCATTAGATATGTCATCAATGGAGGAAAATTCTTCAGGCTTATGGCTGTAACCTGCAAAGCCAAGTTAGTGTTAATTAAGCAGGAAAAAAAAAAAACAATTATCGGGTTATGACGGAAAATTAAAGGCATTTTCAAATTGTGGATTGTAGAAAGGGAGAAAGGTCAAACCTTTGTAGCATGGAATGAATATCATACCCATAGGAGATACTCTGCAAAAGTGAAAAACGAATTATCAGCTCATTTTTGTAATCAAAATGAATGAAAGGCATTGGCTTAATTAGTATTAACCAATCTTTGTTCATAGCATAACATACTTAGAAGCCTTTCATAGAGGGGCAATAAGCAGAAAGAGCTGAACTAGGAGTGAATAATTGAGAGGGTTTTCATCTCTCTCTCTCTCTTACCTAGCCATAAACAGTGAATCGTGGTATGCTCGGCTAATCATTAACTTGTGTGTAAGGTTTAGATCTGCTGATGAAGCCTTCATTGCCTCAATTATTGACTTCTCAGAAAGTGCTGGTGGATCCTGATTTATGATTTTAAATTCTGATAGCCTAACCCCGCGGTTTTTGGCTATCGTACTTGCGGATTGCCGGATTTTCTCAATTATGATGTTTCTTCTTCCTTCATCAATGTCTCTAGTGTCTGCATAACAAATGACTTAACAACGTTAATTTCATAATGCCTCAAACATGGTAGGTCCATACGCATGACTAGAACTTGATTAACATTTATAACACAAATATCGGACGGAATAACCATGATAGTTATTTGTCCTACCAATTTCAAGATGTGATTTGCTAGGGATACTGTTGATTGCTCCGGGGTGAAGCTCCAAGATACCTTGAAAGAAAGGAATTATAAATTTCCATTTGAAATCATTGTTTTAACAAAAGAAGTTAAAGAGCTTGAAAAAAAAAAAAAAAATCAGAACATTGAGATTACACAAACTTACCAACTGTACCAACACTATCAATGGATCCAGATTCTAACACATGTCTTTCTACAGCTAGTGCTAGTTCTGCAGCTGCCAGCCCAGCATCATTTCTGCTCAAATGATCCATTTGAAAAATTATAAATTGTTCTTTAATTGAACAAGGAAAAAAAAAAAGCTTCATTTTTAAATTACAGCCAGATCTTGAGAGTAACAAGATGGTAGATGTAACAAAACAAACATATAGCATGATAAAAAGTAAAAAGATGTTGGAATGGTAGTAAGGATAGCCCAGGAATCCTACCAAAGAAAAAAAAAAGATAGGTAACATAGAAGTCAGAGAAAGGGTCATGGTCATCGACAAAACTTGTAATCATGAAGAAATCATACAAGAAATGAAACTTTAAAACAGATATGTATATTAGAAAAGTTTCCACAGTTGATGTTAGGAATATTACAGCCTCGAATAAAGAAGCACTCACCTATTTGGCATTAAGACAGCACCCGCGTGGCCCCCATTGCCTTCAAATTCCACTTTAATACTTGCCGGGGCTGCAATAGCAGTTACGATGCCAATTGATATACCTGGATCAGAAAATGGAATGCATTAATGGAGACCCGACATTTGAGCCTAATGACACCAATAAGCATAAACAAAATACATTTACGAAAAATAAAAGGGAAGAACAATTAGAACAAAGGCCAACCTTCTTCCTCCAAAATGGGTCCTTGCTCAATGTGCAACTCTACAAAAGCAGAGTATGTTCCTTTCTTTAGAAACACGTTGGATAAGTCATCTTGATCTTTCGCATAGCCAGCTGATCTTGCAGCGTAGAAGAAGGATATGTTTTGGCCATCCACTGTCGTCTTAAGAGCTTTCGCAAGTGCCTCACCCCCCGCCAATAAGCGGCTGCATGTTCACCGTAGCACATAAGAAGACCATTAGAGAATGCACTTACCGAAGTTAATAGAGAATATGCACCTTCTGATTGCAATTAATCACTATAACTTAAAACAAGTTCGAGTAGAAAACATCAAATGAATTCATAATTTCAGTAGAAAAGCAGCAGTAAAGAATATAGGACTGGCATATCCTAATTGAAAATTTTCTTGAAACATTATTACTCAGTACTAAATACTAACCTTCCCAGGCAGCCGATTCCAAAGCGTGTAGGCTCTTCTGAGGTGAATAATATAACTTCAATAGCCCTTTTAGGTTTAAAGCCAGACCTGTAAAATTCCAAGTCGCATAACATAAACAACAAATAGCTTCTACTATTTGAACCGTGCAAGAAGAAAAGATTGCACAAATAGAACACAAAAATTGATTCAGAGACCAGAACCAACATCAATTGGGAAATTTGCAAACCTTTTCAGTACATTTATGGCTTCTATAGCACCTAAAACACCCACGACTCCATCATACTTTCCAGAGAATGGAATGGCATCAATGTGAGAACCGGTTGCAACTGCAGCAAGCTCTGGCTCATGGCCTTCCCTGCACACAAGAAAAAAAGACATGTCAAATGTCAACATGAGCTTAAAGTATCCAAAGGCCAAATGTAAGGCATTAGGTCAAATAAAATCACGATCGTATCTATAAAGAGATAATAGAACAAACATCCAACCACCTCATGAAACCTTCATGCCAAAATAAAGAGGATGACATTTTCAAAACCAATCACAGATTAGAAAAGAACAAGAGAAAATTGCATAAATTGATGGGTTCTTGTCTACTCATACTCTATTTTTCTAGCAAACTGCAAAATGAAATACTTAAAAAGGCAAAATATTTTTCTAGCAAACTGCAACAAGTTGGGATTAAGGTTCTCCAGAGTTCAGTTGATTGCAGAATTTCCAAACAGTAATTATGATTAAAATTCAAGGATCAAAACATGCCACACTCACCACCGGCCGAATATGTTACCAACAGCATCCTCCCTAACAGATAGACCAGAGAGTCTCATCAAGTTTTTAATGAATCTGCAATTAAATAAACACAGAGAATATCAACACAGAGCCAAATGCGAGTCATAAGCATTGTCTATGAATTTGTATTATTACTATTTCAAGCACGTTCGGGATTGCCCGACAAATTAACACACAATTTATAAGGTCTAAAAGTTTGTCATTAGTGATAAATTGAGCCTTAATTCATATTCCTTCCATTAAAAAGTTGAATCTTTATTAGATGTTCAAAATCACATTTTTATTTATCCTTTAAGACTCCCCCATCAACAATAGAAACACCCACTTACTAAAATAACAATTCGCAGAAAAGGGTTTCTTTTTCTGAGTAACCAAGTGCCATTTTGTTGGGATTTTGCCTTAGTAGATTTACCTTCGCGCCAATACATCCTTCTCAGTGTAGAGAATTCTGGTTACTGATGGGGCAGGTGTATCCGAAAGGCTTGAAAGCTCATCAATCTAATCAGCACAAAAACTCACAGAATCGTCAGATTAATAAAACAAAATCCCAGTTTCAGAAACACTTAGAAATAAATAGAATTTTAATCACATAAATCCGAAAAAAATAAAAGAAAAAATGACCCTTTATAGTGTAAACAAATTTTGGTTTTGGGGTACCTGATTCTGCAAAGTTTGAGCATCAACGGAGAGTGCAGAGAGAGTGTTTGAGATGCAAGAGTGAGATTCGTGAATTGGGTAACCTGAGAAATCCTCCATTGTTTTGGTTGTTGGGTCTTCATGGTTGTTACCTAATGTTGCAGAGGAACAGATGAAGAAGAGCAAAAGAATGATGAAGTGTAAGAACCTCGGAGCCATTTTTTTTATTCCTGGATTTTTGGCACAATAATGCTTATGTTCCTTATTAGTCGTAGTTTATCATATCACTGAGCAGAAAGCAGAGAGTCTGAGTGGCTTTAGGTTGTCCAAAAAATATACGGAAATAGCAGGAAATAGATCAATAAAAAATTCAAGAAAGTATATAAGTTAATTTTTAGTTATAGAAATTAATAGGTTATAATTTGTTAAGTTATGATTTATAATCAACTAAATTATGGATAAATTTGTCAAGTTATGGTTCATAACCAGATAAATTATGGACAATAACTTGTCAAGTTATGGTTCATAACCAGACAAGTTATAGACAAAAACAGTAATTTGGCATATTTATTAACTTATGTAAACTATTAGCCTATTAATTTTAATTCATCTCAAGTTTTAGCTTAGTTCCCTCTTTCTCCCTAAAATATACATATGCAAACGAAACAATTTTCCCCGGTGAGTGCGAATCTGACGTTGTTTTGTTTAGTTTGTGCTGCGATCCCTTCAGGATCAGTTTAAGGTGTATACTCCGATCACAATTTTTAATTTTAACATTTAAGATTTAATTTTTTATGACAAGAACACACTGAATTAATAATTTAAATTTGATAATATAAAACAAAAGGACCCTTAACTTTTTTGTTATTTTTTTTTCTCCTTGAAATTCCTTAACAATACAAGTAGGGGTAGCAATTTGTGTCACGTGTCGTGTTCGTGTCGTGTTTTGATAATTTCTTTCTAAATCTGCAGTCAACCCGAATACGACCTGTGACACGAAATTTTTTAAAAACTACAACACGAACACGACACGACCACTTTACGGGTTGACATGACACGACACGAAAATGACTCGTGACACAAAATTGACCCGTGAACCTGAAATTGACACAAAAATTGTATACTTTAATATAATTTTTTACATATTAAAAATAACTTAAAATTCATAACACACTAAAATGCAATAACATCCATTGAAATTAAGCAAATAATACTACAAGATTTTGAGTATAACTATCATGCTATCATAAGTTCACAATAAAATCAAATATGTAATGTAAAATATATGTATTTTTTTAATTTTTTACGAGTTTCGTGTCGTGTTCGGGTTAGGCGGGTCCAACTCAAAATTGACCCGTGTTTTTCGTATCAATTTCAGGTCGACCCAATTTTGACTCGAACCTCTTTTTTCTTAACCCTAACCCGCGAAATTCATGTCATTTTCGAGTCGTATTGTCGTGTCGTGACCCATATTACCGGCCCTAAATACAAGTACTCCTCTTTCTTTCTTTCTGTTTTTTTTTTTGAGAATTTTATAGCTGTTGGTAGAGCTCCATTTTTAACCGTGGTATAAAAAGTTGTTAATTTTATTTTATTTTTTAATGTATTTTTGTTAAATTTAACATTTAAAAACATGCACAATGGTGTTTATCATAGACAAGTTTTTCGTCTTTTTCTGCTTTATGCTTTCTACGGTAGGAAAGTCTTATAGTAATGCATAAATCCAGTATTAAAATCACATTGAAATAAAATTATGTATCCCTCGTTCGCTTTGCGGATTTGAGTTTTTAATTTGAGTTGAGATGTGATATTTTTTAAGAGTTTTTAATTGTAGCAAAAAAAATTACATATGACATTTTCTGAAAATTTTTAACTGTAAAAATTTAAAACTAAAAATTCGAATCAATAAAATGAACAAGACCCTAATTACTAATAGGCTATTTTTTCATACCCTAACTCTCTCACTTCTTTTTTAGAATGAATAAAATATACTAAGTGCCAGTGATTAGTAAATACTGATAATAGTCTCCGTTTACATTTCATATTATCTATTTTTTGTCGTGTATTAATTTTTGTTTTTATTGTCGTCTAATTAATGTGTTGTCGTTTCTACGCTTCTGCTGTTTCTAACATCTCGTCGTTTCACATTTCATGTCATTTTGAGATTGTTTCAATTATATTTCTTCTGAAATCCATATCATCCGTTTTTATATTTTTGTTTTGAATCTCCTCTTGTTTTATTTATAATTGTCGTGTGTCCTCTTTCTTCTATAGTTACTTTATTGTCGTTTACCTCCTTCTAGTGTTTTCTTTCGTGGGATTTATGTCGTTCATTAATTTACGTCATTTCGTAGCTACTTGTCAGTCATTGATCACCATTCACCCTCATTTGGTTGTCGTCTATTCCCTTTCGGTATCTTTCAATTGTTTTTCGTCGTTTTCCTGATATGTCCTTTATATGTATCCCTTCTCTCGTGTTGTTGGCGGGAAGATTCTGAAACACACTCCAAAAGTCTCCGCTTACACAAAACAAAACTTCAAAAACTCGCAAAGCTTCCGAAGCAAGAGAACTCAAAAATGGAGGAATCAAAGAGACACACTTGCTTGAAGCTCGAACCCAAAGACTCCGATCCAATCTTCGTCAATGCCACCTGGTTCCCCTCTCACTTCAACCTCTCCGTCACCGACGGTCACCACGCTTGGATTTGCCACGGTCTTTTTCTTCTTCTTCATCATTTGGATTTTGTTGCTCTCAAGGATTGGAATTGAATTTGTTTCTTTGTTTAGGGATTTCGGTTTTTCTTAGGGTTTGAATTTGCTTGAATTTGAATTTGAATTGTGCAGCGTCGGAAGAGGAGGTTAGGGATCGGGCGGCTCAGTGGGACCAGCCGGTGCCGGAGTATGTGGCGTTGGCCGAGAGGTACTTAGGGTTTCAGCAGCCCGATTCCGTCTATGCCTTCGCTGATGCTGGGGATGGCCACAAAAGAGTTTGTGCTCTCTCTTTTTTTTTTTCATTGTTTTTGAAAACATTTTCCTCAGTATTTCGATTTCCTTCCGGTTACATCCTGGTGTTGTTCAGCTTTTTATTTTTTTATTTTTTGGTGGGGGCATGAAAAATGAAAGAAATTTCTAATAATTATAGTAATTACAGACATTCTAGTATTGGATTTTATAATTACTTGTGATAATCACGGCTGCAGTAACACGAAAGAAAATAATCAAAATTATTGTTATCTATAATGTATTATTAATTACTGATATAAAAAATTAATCCAACAAATTTATAGCTTTGTGATTGTTTTTTAATCTTAATTATTTCCTGGGTGTTGAAGTTTCGGGGTTGCTTTCTTTCTGTTTTTATTGTTTCTGAATTGCTACTGTTCAATTTTACGTGGTTTAGGAGTTCCAAAAGAAGTAGCTGGTTTTGTTGGTAGGCTTTAATTTGAAGTTTTGAAAGCTTTGTGAACAGCTCTAGAATTTTCTTACTGTTAGCAGGATCAGGATAGCAACTCTTTTTTTTTTTTGTTCTTTTTTTCTTTTTTTTTTTTTTTTTTTTTTTTCCATTTTATGGGATGTAACAAAAGATCAAAGTACACATGCTAATAAAGAATCGGACTTGAGGAGATGCACATTAGGGATTTTAAATTTTCAAGGAGCCAATGCACGTCTCAAGGTTTTAGTTTTGGAAAAGGATTTGGGTTACTACTATCATAAGTTGAACTGTAAAATGAGCGGGAACTGTTAATAATGAGAATAACTAGAAAAGCGACTAACTTGAGAATGTAATACTGTTTTTCATATGATATACTCACTGAGAAGATTGTCCTATCATGTCATGACTTGCAGTTGTCCTGGACTTTTGAGAAGGAAGGGACTAAGCTACAGTGGCGGTGGAAATGTCAACCGGCACCTGATAGTAAGAAAACTACAGCAGAGACATTGGATTTTCTCATGGATGCAAACATAAGGCTAAGTGTAAGTATGTGCAATCATCGTTTATTTGTCTTGGCGATTGGCATGTTTTATGTTCCGATGCACATATATTGTAATCACCGCTCTGTTAAAGGAGAATTTTGAATCCACCATCTTAATAAGGAAGTTACTAATCACTGTCAAGATATAATTGGTGTATTGAGAAGTACCAATGGACGAGAGAAACCAGGATGTTTGTGCTCAATAATGATTCCTCAGAATTTTGGTTTTAAGAGTATTAAAGTGTATGGGTCCTTGTATCTTCTTCCGGATTGATTGATTCTAAGATCAATTGATTCTAAGGTAGCTAATGTTACATTTGTTGGAAGTTTTGATGTTGGATTGCTTTATAAGGACAAAATCCGTACATTATCTTGCAGTTACATTGAATTGATCTGTAAACAGTACCTCGCTGCTATTTTCTGTTGGACAATGAGAAGCACTGGATGTTCTACATCAGAGCACGCATTCATCGATCTGCAAAGCCATTAATATTTAAGCTCTTGAAATTTTTTTAGATATCACATATTACTGTGACATAATGGAGTTATGTAACTTATGTACCACTTTCTGTAGGAAGAAGTTGTCATCAAATCTCAATCTTTCGAGAGGCTGAAAGTGGAAGCTGAGAAGTGTTTAGAACAGAGTGAGAAGATAAGCAATGAGAAAATGGAGTTTGAATCTACATTATATGCAAAGGTCTGCCCTCTAAAATGCATTTTTGGGTTTTTGGCCAAGAGCGCATTTCGCCACTTACATGTCCCTTTGTTATTTTCACGAATTGGTAAATGGGTCTTGAAACTTTATCATCAATGCCCTCCTCTAGAAGACTGCGTTCAACTGATGCCTTCTTATTACTCATGAGCTTGATTGATAAGTTTTATGATTTATCTTATGTCTGTTCTTTAGTGAGTAAAGTTCAGTTGTAATTAGTATTATGAAGGTCACAGATTTGGAGTTAATTTCCAGAACGTGTTCTCCTTTTCTTTTCTTTTATTTTATTTGTTTGGATTGGTTAGAAAAATGATTAAATGCAGTTTATTTTAAGTACAATTGCACTCTTTTATATTTGCTCATTCGGTATATAGTAAATTGTGACGCTAGAAATAGCAATGTATCTTGTTCAAAAAAAAAAAAAAAAGAAAGAAAAAATAATGTATTTTCTTGAGCTACAACATTGAATAGAGGAGTTTTATTTTTTTTGTTTTCAAACATCATGACTTATTCCTTTCATGCTTCTAGTTTCTTGGAGTCTTGAACTCAAAGAAAGCGAAACTCAGAGAGCTGCGAGCTCAGCTTGAAAAAAATGATCCTGCTGCTGGGAAATTGCCACAAGAGGAAGGATCCACTGACAAAACAGAAAGTTTTGATGATGGAAGTGACGATGGGAAAGGTGAGGAAGAATCTTCAGAAAATGTAACGGGCACTTCAAAGGGTGCTCAAACAAGTAGGTCTCGTGGTCGCAAGAGGACAGTGCGGAAGTAGTGTTTAAAACATCAACAATCACATGCAGATTCAAGCATCCTATGCCGACGCTTACTCCTTCCTGGTTAGGTATTTATGGCATCTATGCTGTTAGATCCTTTCTGTTCTTTGTGAATAATTTTTTCAAGTCTTCAGATATTAAGAATTTTCTTTTTAACTGTTAGTATGAAATGAAAAGCATAGCATCAGAAGAAATTGCTATTTTTGGTCCCCTGGATCTCTAAACTCTCCAGATTTAAAGTAGGGGTAGAAAAAGATTGTTGCGGCGGAAAAACAATCTTTGTTATTTTCACGAATTGGCTTTGTACAAATTTAAAATGATAAAATGGTTTACAAATTTAAAATGGCTTTGTACAGAACCTACTATGTTTTTCCAAGAAGGGAAATGCTCCTTTAGTGTAGATCTCTTTATTTCACTAGGAAGTAGTAAACATTATACAACAAGCTATATTTTGTATCACCATTATACTACTATGAAGTGACTTGAGATATGCATAGAATATCATTGAAATGACTGCCTCATTAGGTGAAAAATCCCTCTTGCTCATCTTCAATGAGCTCGAGTGCTCTATCGTTTTCTTGAAGAAAACTCTGAATGAGGATATTGAATGAAATGGCATCTGGAAGCAATCCTTTTCTTCCATTTGCATCAAAAACTTTATTAGCCTCAGATAACACTCCTTTCTTCGGGAGCCCATATATCATTTAGTTATGATTTACAACATCAGGAACCAACCAAGCCTCTCTCCGAGATTTCATCAAATGTTTTCATAGCTTCTTCTATTCTTCCAACTTAACACAGGCCAACAATTAGTATCCTCCAAAGCTGAATTCAAGGCTCAAACTTAGCACTCTTCGAGAGACGGAACAAGTCTGCCGCCTCGTTTATTTCTCCATTCTTGCAGAGTCCATCCAGAAAAATGGCATCTGTAGATTAGTAGATGAGACTCTGCACATCTCTTCCAAAAAGTTGGTCTGCAGCTTTAACTCTGCCTGCCAGGCATAATGCCTTCAATGCTTTACGACGCATGTGTTTTGGAGTGGTGAATACCTTCACTAATCTTCCAACCCCTGCGATAGCCGTTTTATCAAATATGTTGTAGCTTAAAACATTTGTTTCAACACCTCTTACCACCATCAACTCAAACAGCTTTGGAGTATGATCTAATGATAAGACCATATCTAGTGCGTAGTAAATTCACACAGCAATGCAAGACAATGGAATGGAAGATTGAATTATATGCTGCTTTACTGAAGAAGGAAATACAAGGGATATGGGGTGTTCGAGTGACCTCTTGCACTCCCTAGAGCAGTAGCTCGTGTAAGAAAACTCAATTACAATCTCGATACCCTTCCCAGCCTTCTTCCTTCTGGTTTTATTCATTTCTTCCTCACTAACCGTTTCCCACTTCCCTCTCCTCTCCTGAGGTCTCTCTCGAGATTTGGGCTATTACGCATTCCCTGCAGCAACTCTTTCTCCAACTTTGCTGCTCCTTCCATGTCAGCCTCTTTTCCTCTACCATCAGCCTCCAGCTCACCATCTTCCACAACACCTTTTTCTGCCACATCACCTCGATTGTCTTTGGGCCTCCTCCTAGCGTAAGTGAAACGTAGTGGAGGTCTAGGGGGCCCATCAATACCCCTAGCCCAAAGATGCACCTTGTCTGCAAGGTGGAAATCTGGAAATGCTGCGTGGATGCGGTCGAAATTCTCCTAGTTGTCCTCATGATCCGGTAGGTGCTCCCAGTGAATAAGGACTTCTAACTCCGTTGTAGACCCATGAGAGGCTTGGCGAACGCCCCGCAGCGCAGTCGGCTGAACTTGGAGTACCATATTAGGGGTGAGCTGAGGCGGAAGGGCAGCATCCGGAATGGTAGCTCCCACTACACGTCGCAACTGGGAAACATGGAAGACGGGGTGTATGGCTGCGGAAGCTGATAGCCTCAGTCGGGAAGCAACGCGGCCTATCCTGGCCAGTACTTCATACGGTCCGTAGAAGCGAGGCGCAAGCTTCTCGTTATGACGTTGCGCCAGCGATTTCTGCCGATAGGGCCGTAGTTTGAGGTACACCAAGTCGCCCACCTCAAAGGAAACCTCGCGGCGAGAGCCATCTGCCCGAAGCTTCATCTTCTGTTGAGCGCGCAACAGCTGTTGCTTCAGGAGGTCTAAGGTGGCATCACGATTCGCAAGTTGCTGGTCGACAGTGGCCACAGGGGAGAGACTAAGACCATAACGCACCAAAGGGGGTGGGACACGACCGTAGAGTGTACAAAAAGGAGTCATGTGTGCGGCGGTGTGGAATGAGGTATTGTACCAATACTCGGCCCAAGGAAGCCACTTTGACCATTGGCGAGGCGTGTCGGATGAGAAACACCGCAAATAAGTCTCAAGGCACTTATTCACCACTTTTGTCTGACCATCCGTTTGAGGATGATAGGCTGTGCTCCGAGCTAGCATTGAACCTTGCTGTTTAAACAATTCTCTCCAAAATTTGCTGAGAAAAATCCTATCGCGATCAGACACAATAGAACAGGGAATTCCATGCAGCCGGACCACCCCATGTAGGAACTCAGCCGCCACCGTTGTTGCGGTGAAAGGGTGTTTGAGCAGGATGAAGTGAGCATACTTGCTCAGGCGGTCAACCACGACAAGAATGGCATCATACCCCTCTGATTTGGGCAGCCCTTCGATGAAATCCATCGAGAGGTTGTCCCACACTTTGTCGGGCAGGGGAAGGGGCTGCAACAATCCCCCGGGGCTAAGGTGTCGTACTTGTGCTGTTGGCACACGTCACACTTTGCGACATAAGCCTCCACGTCCTTCTTCATGCCAAACCAATACCAATCGGCCGCCAAGCGTCAGTAAGTTTTGAGCACACCCGAGTGGCCCCCTGCCACCCCATCATGGTGTGTGCCTAACAGTCCAGCCACCAGACTCGAGTCACGCGAGAGTACTATCCGACCCTCTTTCATGAGGCGACCCTACTGCAAGGAGAACCCCGGGTGTGATGCTAAGTCAGCCATGAGGTCCTCAACTATCCGTGATAGCTTGCCATCCAAAGCGTTTTGGCGTGTGAGCTCCTCTAAATCAAGCTCAATGGGGGCCGAAAGGAGCTAGAGTTCCGCGGCTGAGGGCAGGCGCGAGAGTGCGTCCGCTGCCTTATTCTCTAGACCAGGGCGGTATTGAATCTCAAAGTTAAAGCCCAACAACTTGGACAGCCAACGCTGGTGGTTCTCACTGACCACTCACTTATCAAGCAAGAACTTCATGCTCTTTTGGTCCGTGCGAATAATGAAGTGCCCACCCAAGAGGTATGGTCGCCACTTCTGGACCGCCATCACGATGGCCATAAGCTCCCGCTCATATACTGACTTTAGGCAAGAAGTGCTAAAGAGAGCTTGGCTAAAGGCGATGGGACGTTGATCCTGCATCAAAACTGTCCCAATCCCTACGCCTGATGCATCCGTCTTAATCACAAACTCACGAGTGAAGTCTGGTAATGCTAGCATTGGTACGGTGGTCATGGTAGTCTTGCGCTTATGGAGAGCATCTGTGGCTTCCTCAGACCAAAGGAAGTTGTCCTTTTTGAGGATATTTGTTAGTGGCCAAGCAATTGTTCCATATCCCTTGACAAATTTCCGATAGTAGTCGGTTAAGCCAAGGAATCCCCCGAGCTCTCGAAGGTTGGTAGGCACCGGCCAACTCAACATGGCAGCGATCTTAGCTTTATCTGCGGCCACCCCTTCTTTGGAGATGATATGGCCCAGGTACTCCAAGGTCGACTGCCTGAAGCAACACTTCTTGGCGTTTGCATATAGGCGATGCTTGGAGAGTTCTGTCAATACAATATCGAGGTGCAGGACATGCTCTTCTAAGTTTCGGCTATACACCAAGATATCATCGAAAAATACCAACACGAATTTCTAGAGAAAGGAGCGAAATACCTCGTTCAAGAGAGATTGGAAAGTCGCTGGAGCATTGGTAAGCTCAAAGGGCATGACCAAGAACTCGTAGTGCCCCTCGTGGGTGCGAAAAGCCGTTTTCGGCACATCCTCGCTGCGCACCCGAATTTGGTGGTAGCCCGACTTCAAGTCAATCTTCGAAAAAATGGAGGCGCCGTGCAATTCGTCGAGGAGCTCATCTATCACCGGTACAGGAAAACGATCCGGTATGGTCCCGCGATTCAAGGCTCGATAATCGACACAGAACTGCTAACTTTCGTCTTTTTTTTAACGAGGAGGACTGGGCTAACGCTGGGCTGTATGATGCCCGTGGCGAGCATCTCTCCCACTAGTGTCTCAATCTCGTCCTTTTGCGCTTGCGGGTATCTATATAGGCGGACATTAATTGGTGAGGTTTCGGCCTTTAATGGGATGCAGTAATCCCGTGACCGTGGCGGAGGGAGGCCGGTCAGCATCTGAAAAACGTCGGCATGTCTCTGCGACACCGCTTGCCGGTCGGGTGAAACTTGGTCTTCCTCCTCCACCCATGTTCACCCTCGGCTGAAATCATTCCCAATTCTACCCAGAAACCCTGCCCCTCATGCTTCAGTGTCCGCAACATACTTTTCAGGGAAGCAAGGGAGTTAGTAAGGCTTGGATCTCCCTGCAAAACCACCGGTGTCTCACCGATTTTGAACTTCATCGAGAGGGCCCTCTAATTGACTGCCACCGCCCCAAGCGTCTCCAACCATTGCATTCTGAGAACCACATCCGCACCGCCCAATTCCAATGGAAGGAAGTCTTCCATGATTTTGACATCTTGCACTAATATGGCCACTCCTCGGCACACCCCTTCTCCCTTAACCGTGAGACCGGTTCCCATCACTACCCCATAACCGCCGGTGGTATCAAGTCCTAAATCTAACCTTTTCACTAGTTCTGTGGAAATGAAGTTGTGGCTAGCCCCACTATCGATTAAGATTACCACCTTAGTTCCCTTAATCCGCCCCTTGAGTTTCATCGTCCGTGGTGCAGTCAATCCAACCATTGAGTTCAATGAC